AGCCCCCGCGGAGTGTGTGGCAGCCTCCCTGAGCGGCTGGGTTCCAGGTGGCTCCTCTGCGGACTCGCTGCTGCTGAGCCAGGGGAGTTCTTTATAGACTGTGGGTGCTGACCCCTTCTGGGCACCCGTGTTGACATTAAGTGGACCGACTAGTACTGGTCTTTCTTTCCGAATAAGTTTTCATCCAAGAGCAAAGGAGTGTGAGGCTTATCTTCCAGGGCCTCCTACGTCTACTTGCTTATGAAACGCACTGTTCGTCTACCTCAGCTATCACATCTGTGGCACGGGCTTCAGCACGGGTGCCTCGGGCACACGCACAGGCCTGCCCACGTAAAGACAAGCATCGAAGCAGGAAGGCTTCCAACAGAAGGCCTGAGACCAAGGCTGCGGGAGGCGCGAGCCAGTTAAGGTCAGGAAAGACCGGCATGAGAAGAGCAGTATTGTCTCCCTTTCTGAAGGGCTCGATGAAATTAAAATCTGTCCCTGAGTCTCTGTAAGGAGCTGGTTTTCCTAACAAAGCCCCTCAGGTGCCTGAGGCCAACGCCACTCAAAGGTGAGGACCCCGAAGGTGAGGCCGGATCGGGCCCTGAGGCTGAGCGGGAATGTCTCCCTCTACTGGGGGCCTTCGTTAAAGTAAAGGAAAAGAAGTTGATTTTAAAACGCTGAAAACTGCCTGGCTTGTGTGCTCCGTGGTTGAGCATTGACCCATGAACCGGGAGGTCAGGGTTCGATTCCCAGTCGGGCACATGCCTGGGGTTGCGGGCTCGATCCCCAGTGGGGGGTGTGCAGGAGGCAACCGATCAGTGATTCTCTCATCATTGATGGTTCTCTCCCCCTCTCCTTCTCCCTTCCTCTCTGCAATCAATAAAAACATTTTTTTAAGTTGAAAATTTGTTCTCATCTAAACATTATAGTTGCTGCAACTTTCTTTCTGTGTAACAGTTTTAATGAAGCCATACCTAATTGAGGGAAAACTTCGAAGTTAAGGTTTAGACTTTTTTTCAAAGGAAGATAAAATCATAGAGATGAATAGTACGTCTCATCCCTAGTAGGAAAATTGCTGTATATCAGCGGTTCTCAACCTGTGGGTCGAGATCCCTTTGGGGGTCGAACGACCCTTTCACAGGGGTCGCCTAAAACCATCGGAAAACATATATAATTACATATTGTTTTGTGATTAATCACTATGCTTTCATTATGTTCAATTTGTAACAATGAAATTGGGGGTCACCACACATGAGGAACTGTATTAAAGGGTCACGGCGTTAGGAAGGTTGAGAACCACTGCTGTAGAGCCTTACATCTACTTGACTTACATTTTACATACCTTTAGAGCACTAGAGAAATGTAAAACCAATTCTTCCAATCAGCAAGAACCCCCCAGGCTACCTGAGTGACCACTGTTCTTTTCGGCACCGAGGTGGCTTCTCCCCGCAGGAGCCCCTGGGAGCACCGCCGGGAACCTAGTCCCGGCCACTCTCCACCCTGGGTTCCCGGGCATGTGTGGACTCCCCGTGGCTTCACCCTTCAAACCACAGGAAAGCACGGGCGGTCTACCTTCTTCCTCGTCCGGCACTGCCAGCCACTGGATCAGGGCGAAGAGCAGGAGGATCACCAGGCAGCCCATGCCGATTCCCCGGAAGGTGGCAGCAGCCCCTGTGGAAACAAGCCGAGCTCTAGGGGAACCCCAGGGGAGGCAGGCAGCCCTCCCCCACACTCAGCGTTCGCAAGTTCAGGGCAAGGCAGCAGAGCATGGGATGAACAGGTGGCGGCAGATGGCCACAGCTTCCCAGAGTGGGACACACCGGGGCTGGGCAGGTGTCAGGGGGCCCAGGGGGGTATCAGGGGGCCCAGGGGGTGTCAGGGGGC